AAGTGCCATACCCGACCGGGTATGTGTGCAATTTCCTGGCAGCTTCCGTTTTCACTTCCTACCCGACCGGGTAAGTCACCTGGACAGTTTTCTTCATTTCAAAGTCCTCTTTTCCAACACTATAAATCCTAACACTACTTTACAATTTACAAATGAAAGCTAAAATACAATTACAACTAAAACCACACAAATGTTTACAAACTAAATAAAAAGTCAAACAATAAACATAAATCAAACATAAAAACATACAATTATGCACTACTAATTAGTGTGAATCAGTGGCTAAAATGAGTGAGTTGGGAGAAAAAGGAAAATAACATGAGAGGCTAGGATGAAAACCCGAAAGGGCTCCTAGGCAGAATGAGAGAATGAGAGGAAGTGTTATCTGTATTTAAGCATGAACTCAATTCACTGGGGAGCTTTTGGATACAAGCAATGAAAAGAACATTTGTTCTTGAAAATCATGAAGACCCTCTTCCTTTCTAATTTGAGGATGGATGAAAATATGAACGTTTAATTCCTTTGACTTTATTTGTTCTATGAGATGTGGACTGTTACATTGAGTTTACTCGAGGACGAGTAATGGCCTAAGTAGGGGGGAGTTTGATAGTATAGAAATATGTTTGTTTATGTGTATAATTTTAACTAGTTTTATTTGTTGTTGTTTGGGAAATTACACACTTTAGGTGTAATACTTTAATTTTTGTATTTGTTTGTAATTTGTTTACATTAGAGATTTTCTGAGCTTAAACTAGGTAAAGATCATCAAAAGGATCCTAGAAAGGTCAAGGAAAGTGCAAGGGAACAAGAAAAAGTGAAAATTTGGGGAAAAGGTCAAAAACCCGGTCGGGTTTTGCAAAAACCCGGTCGGGTTTTGCAAAAACCCGGTCGGGTTTTGCAAAACCCGGTCGGGTTTGACTTGACCCGAAGATCAAACCTGATTTCGGAGGCAATTAAACGTGCATGGCGAAGATTTGGCAAAGATTTGTCTTTTACCCGATCGGGTAAATCACAAACCCGATCGGGTAAATGTGACTAATGAAGATTCTGGGCACTTTCTCAAGAAAACCCGATCGAGTTTCTGCAAAACCCGGTCGGGTAAATGACTCTGCCACCTCCAAACACCTATAAATACACCCCTTTTCCTTCCAATTTGATCACCAATTCTTTTATACTTCCAAGCTCAGTTTAGAATAGTTCTTTCTCTATATTTTTCTAGCTATGTTTAGTCTCCAAATTAGGAGCTAAACTTCGAATTCTTGGTGTTGCTCTTGAAGCTTGTTGATTATTAAAGTTGTGAGTTATTTTCTTAATTTCTTCCCTTGAATATTAATTATTAGTTCCTCCCTTAATACTATCTCTATATTAATGTTGGGTAGTGTTGCTAAGATGACAATTAGTTAACATCTTGACATTAGTTAGAGTAGTAGTTTTTCCTCTACATTAATGTTGGGGAGTGTTGCTAAGATGACAATTAGTTAACATCTTGATATTAATTATAGTAGGATTCATCTCCTTTAATAATATTCTTCCTTGAATATAAATTAATTCCTATTCATATTTCATATTAATATTTTGAACATTACTTAAAGGATCAACTAGTTTTGTTTCATATATTAATTATTACTAGAAACGATCGATGAACCGATGGTTAATCGTTGATGGTTTCACAAGTAAGTAACTTCGGTTTATTAATGCATGGTCATGGTTGATAAACTTAAGAGGGATTAATTTTGTTGGTTAAACCGAAACCGTTGTGTTGAGGTTATCAATCTCAATTGATTTCATCAAGGAGTTAAGAGATTAAATGCTACTATCAAGTCGGTATATGACGGTGTTCTATACTTGACTAATAGTAACGGTTATTAATGAACGGTCGTTGTTAATAACTACCCTCGATGAATTGGATGTACTCCTCGATTGAGTATTTGAGAGGGAATAAGTTATAAATATAACAATGATCGACTAAAATATATCAACAAGTGGAAAGTAGCAATGCCAAGTCCCTTTTATTCTTGAATTAAATCTCCTATAAGTCATTCATCTTAGTTTTTAATTACACTAAATCATTCAAACCTAACCCCCCCCCCCCTTTATTTACTAAGTTCATAAAAAGAAGAATATTCCTTTCCTTGTGGATACGAACTCTACTTCACCTATACTACGTATAAGTGCTAGTATCGATTTATTTTGACGCACCGTGACAAGGTGCCCGCCATATATGGTTAAATATCGTTCACCCCGAAATCACCTACCAATCAAACCCCGAAATAGAACAAACTCTCGAGCGGTTGAAAAATAAATTCTCAAGCTCTGACTCGGGAGAATCATCAAGTGCTAGTTCTCATTCTAGCGACACCGAAGAGCCAATCACTATGGCTCATGAAACGAGAACATTGAGGGAGCTCACGACGCCAAATCTTAATCAACAACCCTTATGTATTACTTTTCCAACTCTTGATACGGGGGTCACATTTGAGCTAAAATCTTGGCTCATTCATCTACTTCCCTCTTTCCATGGTCTACGAGGGGAAGATCCAAACAAACACCTGTCAGAGTTCCATATTGTGTGCACAAGCATGTGCCCCAATGGCGTGTCCGAGGAGCAAATCAAGCTGAGAGCTTTCCCATTTTCTCTAAAAGACACCGCAAAGGACTGGCTATTCTTTCCATCGGCCAGAAAGACATCAACTCATAACATGATCCAGAAGTCAGGAGAACCGGGTGTCTCCGTCGGCCGAGTCTCCGTCGGAAGTGGCTGCGTCGGTCAGACCTCCGTCGGCCACAGAGAGCTCACAGAGCCGGATTTTATACTTAGCCATTTTTGTATACTTTGTACTCAGCCTTGTATTGGCCTCATTGTAAATGGGCCTCCCAAGCCTAAGACTTGGGAGTCCGGCCCACATTTCCTCTATGAATACTCCCCTTGGGAGTAGTTGTAGGGGTTCACAAAATTCATTAATTGCAGAATTAATTGCACTTCTCTCTCTAGCTCTCACTTCTCTCTAGAACATATACTCTATCACTCCATTTTAGATTACCATAAGATGCATGTACTAGTAATCTAAGGACACTACTTATGAAAGGATCGAGTGAATAACAAGCGTATTCATTGACCGATTCTAGTAATAATCAATATGAAAACAAGAAATAATTGATCACTTAACCATGCTTAAATATCAATATGAAATATGAATAGGGAAGTAATTAATATTTAAGAGAGGAAGATTAATGATATAACTCAAAACTTACAAATCACAAACTTTAGTAGTATAGCAAAACCAAGCTCAAAAGACTACATAAATTACATGAATAAAGTCTATATGAAAGAGGGGATTGATTGATATCAAATTTGGAAAGGAAATGAGTGTTTTTATAGGGGTTTTGAGACTGTTGGGGTAGATACCCGATCGGGTATCTAGGATACCCAACTGGGTACTCTTGCCAGTAGCTACGAAAGTGCTAAAATCTAGTCATGCGTGACTGGGTATGTCAACATACACGATCGAGTATAAGACAAAAAATGATTTTCCCATATTCTCTTGCTTTATTTGATGTCGTATGATCTTTGGGTCAAATTAATTATACCAGTTCGGGTATTGGATATACCCGACTGAGTGTGATATCATATCGGATTTTTCATCTTTCTATGTCTCCCATGAAGCTTGTTTTTGTCTTCAAACTCCTTCGCTATGCTCCCAAGCTCCTTACTCTTATTTTTCAATCATGATTTTGCTTACATGTCAAAATCTCTTTATATCTTCTAATTCTAATCTTATTAAGAACATAAAGATTACACCGTAATTGTACAAAGCTAAGTAAACACAATCTCAATCCATTCTAAACTATGTTCTTTATGCACTAGTATATACTCTGTAGGACATATCAAGAATTTTCTTCTGTAAAATTATATTAATTAAGTAATCTATCTTTTACAATGATCAGATATGTGTATTAGCACAATCTTATACTCCCTCCGTCCCAATTTGATTTGCAAAATTTCGTATTTTGGTTGTCCCAAAATGGCTTACACTTTCTATATTAGGTATGTAAATAAGAATAAAGTGACAAATTTAACCTTACTTTTACTTTTCCCCATTAACTCAAAGACAACTACTTTTAGAAAGATGAGTAAAAGTGTAAAAAGAAAGCATCATTTATTGTCATTCCTTAATTCTTGTGCCGGTCAAAGTTTGCAATTCAATTCGGGACGGAGGGAGTATAATGTATGGAGTATTCATTTTTATAAGAAATCACATAAACACTACCCATTGTTTTATAAACAAATCTAAATTCATTTGTCACTGGAACTTATATAAACATCCTTCGTTCTTTTTTAGTTGCAATGGTCCGATTTACACATCTACCAACGCACACTCTTGAACGTCAACATATGTCATACCCTTTATTAGTAAACAAGATTAAAAAACGATTTTTTAAAAAAATGTAATGAAGAAAGTTAAGCAATTATTTATAAAAAAAATTTATAAATTAATAAATAAATGTAAACAAAGTATGTGAATAGTTTAAATTCAATATGTTCCAATTTAAAAAAGATACTCCTTCCATCCCTAAATAATCTTTCAAATTTCCTTTTGTGTTCATCCATTTCATTTTTAGGCAAAAAAATTTGTGATTCGCAATATTTTGTATGTATTCTTCGACATTTCTATCATTTGGATAACCCTTCACCATATAATACATACTCCCTGCATCTCCAATAACTTTGTCATTTTTGACCAATTGATCGACACCAATTGACCAAGTAAAAATTGTGTGGTTGAAGTTTTATGAAGAGAAAAGAGAATTAATTATAACCACAAATTCTTTCCTAAAAAAAGCAAAAGGTAAATTTAGTGAGACAGCCGAAAAAAAAAGTTACTAAAGTTATAAGCACCAAGACAGTAATACTTAAATCCATATGAAACGTAGTAATGTACTATAGTATCGTGGAATAAATGCAAGTAATACCGACGCATTTGGTCCGTTTTTTTAGTAGTGTTTGTCTATGCACGCATATAAAGGAACTAGCTGCTTGATAGCTTGGCTTGATTGTGATTGATTAGAGAAAGGAATAAAAATATTATGGCTTCTTGGCGTAGGTGGCTAATGTTGTTGACAGTGGTTTCTTCACTAAAAGTGCTGCTAGCCATTCCGGTGAACTCCATGTCCATAAACGGCGGAGGGTTTAAGGCGACTCTGCGGCGCGTTGACTTCAACAGAAACTTCACCACACTAGAGCGTCTGCAACGCGCCATGAATCGCGGGCTTTCAGCTCAGAGACTGGCGGCGGTCAACCACAACGTGCGGTCAACGGTTATCCCCGTCCCCGGCGAGTTCTTGATTGAGCTCGGCTTCGGCAGTCCTCCGGTGTGGTTGGATTATATTATGGACACCGGCAGTGACATGATATGGACGCACTGTTTGGAAAATAATTCTGGGAGTACAGATGATTACAACCCCCAAACATCGTCTTCTTTCTCCGAGCTCCCCTGCTCCGACCACATCTGCAATACAACGGCGCTGCCGTCGCTGTCGTGTGACAACAATAGTTCAGTATGTGCTTTCAACATCACATATGGGAGTGGAAGGACAAACGAAGGCAAAATAGGCAGAGACAGTATTACATTTGGGAACAACTTTACTGCGCCTAATGTCATTTTCGGTTGCGGCCATGTTCACGACAGAACGGGGCAGCCGCAGCCCCCACCCGCCGGATCTTCGGGCATAGTCGGGCTAGGCCGCGGGAAGATGTCGCTGATTTCGCAAGCCAAAATACCGATCTTTTGGTATTGCTTGCCCGGTATGGCAAGCCTTACCCAGAGCACGGGACCTCTAGGCGGCGGCGGGAACAACAAACCTATGATCGCCGCCGGCTACTTACAAGAAGTGAAAACTACCCCATTGTTACCGAATGATACACATTACAGTATTCGTCTTAAGGGGATAAGCGTCGGCGACAAGCGGTTGCATCTCCCGGAGGCAGAGTTCCAGTCGAACCCGGATGGGAGCAGCGGGATTGTCGTCGACTCCGGCACTCCCTTGACGTACTTGCAACCGAAAGTATTTGCGGCGCTCAAGGAGGAGCTTATCAGTCAGGTGGGGGTGAAGGAGTTCGGTGCCGGTGCGGCCATCACGGGGCTGGATTTGTGTTTCACGATGCCATTGCAGTCCGATGATAAAATTTTCCCGAAGCTGACCTTCCACTTCGACGGCGGCCTGGATTTGGAGCTTCCCAAAGAGAACTACTTTGTAGACTTGGAGACCCTCAACATGTCGTGCTTGGCGATGTTAAACACGAGCAACACGGGCGGGATGACCATATTTGGAAACATTCAACAGCAGAATATGAATGTGACTTATGATCTTACCCAGAATACTCTCTCCTTTAAGCCCGAACAATGCGATCAGGCCTCATAAAGCAATCATTGAGTTTAATCATTCCGATGTTTGAAACAAACAAAGAAAACGAGAATCGTAATGATGATGTATTTATCATTAAATAAACATACTCCGTATTTGGCTGTTTTCCTCTTCTCATCATATTAAATTACTTTTCCTTTTCTTTCTAATTTATGAACTTGTATAACTTATCTTGCTAGTTGCTACTTTCTGGATTTTATTTTCAATCTCTTATTTCCCGACGCAATTTGAGGGATTGAGATCCTCTCCAGTGTAGCAGAGGTGCCTTGCGACAACGGACGGATGAGGAAGAAAGTGTCTCAAGAAGGTGTCTCAAGATGCGACCCTAATAAGCTAGACACCCTACCTTGCTGCAAATTAAAGCAAGACAGAGGTTAGAGAAACCAAAATTGAGGGCTAAGAGCAACTCCAATGCAAGGAGTGATTTCTTACACGCCCTTACGCATGAGTCCCATTTTTTATCTCACAATTTTTATGTGTAGAATCCACGTATTTCATTTTTTATATCACATTTTTTTCTATGGACCTTGTCATAGACCTTGGTCTATTTTTACCTCTATCTCTCTCCTCTTTTTTATTTTTCCTTACACATCATTTCATCCAAATATTTATTATATCTCTATCTCTCCTATGTCACATGAGCTGCAATGCACTTCCTATTGGAGATGCTCTAAGGAGTGCATAATGCTATTGTAAATAACGTCAACAAAGATGTTAGCTCTTGATGAATGGGCCATGATGTGAGAAATAATGACTACTACGAGACCCTGAATATGTGTATTTGGAACGCCGGATAATAGCCAAGTCTAAGTGTATTGTATAACTTAATCGAGGCAGATCAAGTTAGATCGGCCTCGACCAGTAGCGTCAGTACAAAATTGTGGGAAAACGATGATCGTGCTCGACCTCATTGCTGAAGCTTGACCCATCATAGAATAAGTTCATCACCCACGGGTTGCCGGGCCTCGACTAAAATTGTAACACCAGGAAGATTTCAATAAGATTAAAAGTTCTACTCATATCAATAAAATGCTCCTTCCTTTTAGGAAGCCCATCTTTTAAGAACTCTACAATTAAATGTAGTTACATGGGAATAGTCTAATGTTGGCTGACTCCTTGAAAAACTTAATTACTTAGTAGTTTATTATTTTATACGTGATAGACTATAGGTCTAGAGAGAAGTGAGAGCTAGAGAGAGAAAATGATTGTATTTAATATTTCTCAACCTCCTATAACTACCCCATGGGAAGTATTTATATAGGAAATGTGGGTTGGCTCTCAGGTCTTGGTTCTGGGAGGCCCGATACAAGATAAGTCATTTAATAGGCTGATCACATGATTATAGAGCTAAGTATAAAGTATAGTCTGGTGGTAATGGATTCTAGATGAAGAGTCCTTGGCCGAGGGAGGTCCTGGCCGAAGAAGGCCTTTGCCGAAGGACACCAATACGAGGAGAGACATTTTGCTCCAGTTTTATGATCTTGAAACTCTAGGTTGTTCTGTGTGGCCCACATCGTCTGACCGAGTACGCCTTCCTGGGAGCTTGGTCCTGTGTTTGTCTTCTAAGTATGTGGGCCATGGGATCCGGACTCATACACTTTATCAGGAGTCCCCCACTCTCTGAGTCGAGGGGTGTCGACATGAAAGGGAGTAGAATAGTCCTGCGTTATTTGTGTTTAGCCATTATGTGGCCCTGGCCATAGTGCTACACTACCGCATGGCTGACGTGTTGTTGTTCTTTTTAACGTAAGCTCAGGTTCCGTTCTTTGCAGTGGCTTGCTCTTGGGTCCTCTGGATGATGAGTGATTCTGTGTGGTGGCCAAAGTTCCTCTCGTGTCTTGTTTTTTGAGTTTGTTGATTTTTGAATTTGCTGGTTCTTGGACGAGGTGGAGTCCTCAGTCCGTGAGTCGAGGGATGTTGAGGTGAAATGGGATAGGAAGTGTCCATGGCCGAGGCGGTGTTCTCGAACTCCTTATGCATTCAAACTTCTGGTGAGCCCTGACCAAGGCAACCTTGTACAAGAATCCTTGGACGAAGGTCGCAGGCCGAAGGTTATTATTAATGGGTTTTGTTTGATAGGCGCTTAGTTTCTTTGGATTACCCCCTTTTTATTTTGGCCGAGTGATCTATATTTTACGGTGAAGCGAGGCTGAAGTGGGGATGGGTGAGGTGTGGAATGCTTTGATGTGGACGTTTTATGGCTGTGCCGCTGAAGTGATGTGTGGCCGTTGCATATATGTGCCATTTTTTATGGTTCGGTGTGTGGTGCCTAACAAGTGGATGCTTGATGAGGCGACCGTTGGTGCTGCTAGTAGATGGGTTCCACGTGTAGTGACCGTTGGGGAGTCCTTTATAAATCCCCCCCCCCCCCCCGAGGCAATTCATTTCATTTTGCATCTCAGAGAAAATGAAGTGCTGCCCATTTGTATGGAGAGAAAGCGTTTCTCGCATTCTTCAAGCCTTTAAGGTCCGTTCTTTTTTTTTTCGTTCTTCATTTTTTCATTTGTACTTTGCTTTTTGGGTGTTAGATCTGGTGTTCGTAGGGAAAAGGCACTTAGATCCAAAAATCCTCCCTTAGGCTCTGTTTGCTTAGCTATGCCATGCCTTGATGCTTCCCACCTCCTCGGGCGCCTTATTAATTTCCCATACTCACTGGACGAGGAGTGCTACCCTTTTGACGAGGACGGCGCATCTCCTAAGCCCAAGGTAACTTTGAAATTGGTGAAGGAGTTCAATGTCGAGATGAAGAATGCGAGTAATATCGCACTTAGGATGATGTGGAGAGATTGGAGGCAGGGGTTAACTCTGCCTCATCTGACGAAACTGAGGGAGATTCGGGGGTCTCTCAAAAAGATGAAGTTACCTCGACCTCGGAGAATGTTCCATGTCCTCTGCTTATCTCGTTTGTCTGTGGGGGCAGTTCTTCAGGAATCCGGATGCGATGACGGGGGTCACGACAACGACGGGGCTTGGCTGCATCTTTATCGAGTGACATGTGGTGCATATGTATGTCATATGCAAGAATCTGCTCATCATTCAGCCTGCAAGTTCAGTGACCGACTGACATGTGGTGCATATGTATGTCAGCCCGTATGGTAGAGTTAGGGCACCAAAATCGATGGATATCATGTTGTCCCCGCCCATTAGGTACTTTGGGGTATATTCGATGAGCTTCAATTCGCCAATGGGCTATGTTTTCCCCTTCACTCTTTCATAATTGAGTACCTTAATGAGGTCGACCTTCCACCGGCTTTGCTATCGCCAAATAGTTATACTTTGATCGACGGCTTCCTGATCTGTTGTGATGAATTACGGATCCATCCGACGCTCCGTCTTTTCATGGATCTCTACAAGATCAGTTGAGGTAGTCATGAGAACTGCGGTGGATTTGCTAACCTCTTGCAGGTGAGGGGAAAGAGATATTTCAAGGGCTTGCCAACGTTTATTCACTGCTGGAATGCCAAATTTGTATTTGTGACTCTTGGCTCCGATGTTTAGTTCCCAATCGTCCCCTCTTGGATTTTAATCTTTATTCTAATTTGACGAATGAGACAATTGAGGATCATGATTAGGACGTCATTGCGATTGAAGACATGACCATCAAGCTGTTGTCGGTTGGCAATGCGCAACCCTTTCCTCTGTACATAGAAGGACCGTTGAGCTGCGTTGCTGGTACCGGTTGTGGCCGAAGTGATGATGATGGCTACGTTGAAGTTTGATATCGATATCCCAAGACGGGTAGCGTCTTTGACTCCACCATAAGTCCCATGAACTAGTCTCTTCCATTGTGTCGGAGAGGCATCAAAGCTTCATCGATAGCATGAGAAGCGGTGTTGGGAATATTTTATGGTGTTCAATCTAGTTAGTTATCTTTGTATTTGTGTAGTTATCAATTAAACGTGTAATACGGGCCACAAATGTGTATCAGCCCGGGGGCTTCCTTGTAACCCGTAAGTTAGCCAACTTCTCCTATAAAAGGAGGCTAACTTACGAGAACCCTAAGAAACGAATGAGGCTTAGAGTGCGTAGAGACGAGATAGAGAGAAGGGTTTCTGCTGCTCTCCTTCTCGAGGGAGAGCAGTGGGGTTTCATACGGTATACCAGATTCATGTATTAATCTTCTCGATATCTTTCTATCTGCTTATTCTTCTTGCTATGGTTATTGTTTGTTAAGTATTCTGGGTTTATCAATTGGTATCAGAGCCGAGGCGTGAAACATGTTGAATCTATCTGCAATGTTTTTTATCTAACGAAGAACTGCTCTGCTTTTCTTCTGTTTTTCTTTGGTGTAGAGATTTGCTCCTGTAATCTTGTTTGTGAACGAAATTTTGTAAAAATCATACTGTTGGACTCGCCTTTCAAAACCGATCCAGCATCATACCTTATTTTTCGTTTTCTGCAATTTTTATATTTCGAAGATCTCTACATTGAGATCTCGAAATCCTTATTTTTCACTGCTGCAGAAACGTTTTTGACTTGAAAATGATACAGGAGAATCTCGACCTTCAGGGCTTTTCAGATCATGTTTCAAATTTTAAAAAATCGAAGTTTTCATTTTGCAGGATCTCGACATTTAGCGACTCGATTTCCTCATCTCGACTTTTGAAATTCCGAGTTGAAATCTCGAGTTTTGAAATTTCGAGTTTTGAAATCTCGAGTTTTTGAAATCTCGAGTTTTAAAACTTCGAGTTTTTGAATTTCGAGTTTTGGGATATCGACATTTGGGATCTCGATGTTTTGGATCTCGACATTCTGAAGATTTCGAGATTTTCAAAATTTCTCGATGTTTTGAATTTTTCAAAGTTTGGAGTTTCTTGGATCACTGATTTCTTCAAAACTTGATATCTTTCCTGTTCAGAACACTTCAGAGCTTTACATTTTTAGATATCAGAATGAATCTCTGCCTATCAAAGTTTTTAGAAGTTTTCGATGTTCTGATGTTTTTCAAACAGCAAGTTTTCGATTTTCTAATGTTTTCGAAACTCCAAAGTTTTCGATGTTCCAAACATTTTGAAATTCTGCAGATTTCGATATTCTGAGGCTTGTTTTGCAGGTGGATTTCGCCATTATTGTTCGAGGCAAACTCGAGATTAAGATCTCGAGATTTAAACCTCGAGATTGTAATCTCGAGATTTAAACCTCGAGATTGTAATCTCGAGAT